AGTTCAGGGGGTTGGAAGGTTTTATAGGGGCTGCAGGGGTGCTTAGCAAGCAGAACTATAGAAGTGGAATTTTTGTGGTTAGGGGACGGTTGTGCGGCGGCGGGTGGGGGGGGATGTAGATGTTCTTTACTTAGCAAACAGGATGTTCTTTACACAGAAACAATGGTACATTCCTGGTGTCTTAACAGATAAACAAGTACATTCCGGGAACTCTGGGTCCTGTAGTGAACCCGAAACCCACAGGGACAAGATAGAGGGCCTGTAACAAGATGGCGTTACTTGTGCTAAGTTTCATCTGGGTCTTACATTCCCCACTGATTTTATGCAAGCAAGTAATCTTATGCACGGCTTTCTTCATCAAGAGGTACTGGACAGTACCTAGCCTGTTGGTTTAGAACCATTAGGCAAACAGATCCTACCTGGGCCCTTACATAGGCCATAAGTTTATTAATAATGTATGGGCCGAGAGTCAAAGCTAGTAACAGGATTAACAGGGGTCTGGCAAGGGCAGAAACAAGGGTAGTCAACCAGGGAGACCAGTTAAACAAAGACTGATACCACCCAGAATTTTTTTTTAATCTGTCATTTTTTTTTGTAAATGTTTGTTCGCTGTAGCCAGGGTGTCTTGAATAACTCCTGATTTATTGGCATAGTAACAGCACTGTTCTCCTAAGGCTGCACACAGCCCGCCTTTTTTTATGAACAGGAGATCAAGACCTCGGCGGTTCTGGAGGACCATTTTCGGCAAGGAGTCCACTTGTTTTTTTAGATGGGATACTGATTTAGTGATCAGGCCCAAGTCTATCTTTACCTGTTGAGTTAGGGCCTTAAAGTTGGCATCTTGTACTGCCAATGTTGTTATTCTTAGGGCTGTGGATCCTGTAATCCCTCCTATAGCCAGTACTGGGATGAGGGCAGGATGACGCTTTATTTTTACAGGGGGGACTTTCCTGGTCCAATATTTTCATCCCTGTTTTTTACCATATATAAATACCTGGGGCAAGATATGGACCAGCGCACAAACCTCGGGCTCCCTTTGTAGGACAGCAACAGAGAGGCAAGAGGTTATGCCTCCTGTGCATGCCCACCATGAGTTGTTTTCTGCCCTTAGGTACTTACCAGGTTCTGTAGAAGCTGTTTGGTAAAATCAAGCACTGTCCAAGTAAGATGAGGTGACCTTAGGGTTTTTAACGCACGACCCTCTTTCATGTATATCCCCTATTGACAACCTTGTCTGTTTTTTGGGGGTTTTTTAATATGACAAGAATTTTATTTTTGCAATTTTTATTAATATATGATCATCCTCAGGGTTTAAAAGGTCTTGGCCTTTTAAACAAATTTCTAAGGCAATTTTACAATTCATTTGAAAGGTGATAGATAACCACACACTCCTACAACCTCAGCCACTTTACAAAACAAAGGGAAAATTGCTTCAAAACTCCTAAGAAATGTTACTATAATTTAGAGCAGCTCTATATTTACTCTTCTATCAATCAGTGTCTTAGATTGCCATGTACATTTTGATTGTGACATGCAAACATGGATTCTGCTTTGGAAAATGGTTAAATTGCATGCAGATTTCTGTGAAGATTCATAATCCCAAAAACAAAGGAGGGGGAATGAACATTATAGGACTGACTCTGCCAACACATACTTAGAAGAAACACTTTCACAGCTGTACAGACGGGGAGAAAAGAAGTCATGGGATCAAGGCACTAAATCATCAGGCTGCCAACAGTATCCAAATAGTTACCAGCTTCCGTGTATGATGTGTTTTCAAAGTGGAAAAGAAGTTACTAGAGACTGATTCAGACCATCAGTTACCATTACTTTATACGGTGTCAGTGTAATTCAATTTAATCTCCTTTAACCATTAAAAAGTTTAAGACTACATTCCAAGGTAATAGTTCATTTTAAATCTACTTTAATAAATTATGCATGTATGAATTTGTATATGTATGTTCTCTATGTATCATTTTAAAGTATGTAAGGTATCTTTGATAATTAAACAGACAAGCCATGTTGATATTAATAAGTTTAGACAAACTGTCACTGACTTTAATACACTATTGACTAAGAAAAGGTAGTTCAAGGCTTTAGCTTTGAGCTTGATAAAAATGTCGGTATGTTTGAGAAATCTGTCCTTATTATACTATAAAAGTAACTATACTACTTTAATACTTTCAAAAGAATAAAAAGTCAATTATTTTTCCTTTATAAGTGAAGTTAGAATACCTCATTTGATATTTTGACAATCATGATTTTGGTTTGCCTATATATTCTGGGGTGAAGGATAAGACAAGTTGGCCAAAATGAAAGGAGATTTTTACCAGACTACCTTGTGGTATTCTTCAGTAAATTCATAAGGAAACATTTTCCAGCACAGCAGTGTACCCAGTGCTTTGAAGTAAAATCAGTGTCCTAAAGCCTTGTCTCACTTTGGTAAAAGCAGAACAGAAATGAATCTCCAACTTCAGCATGATGTATTTGCTAGAATGGAGCTTGGATGAAAGTGTTAAAATCATTAACTAGAGAAGAAAATGTCTCCATTAGTTCGATCTATTAACCAATAGTTTCACAGGAAAATAAAAATCTGCTTAGAAAAAAAGGAATGTACATTTTAATTATATGCAATCTGTCATTCTGTGAGAATGGCTAGAATTCAAAAATCTTTGCGATAATATTATATCTGGTGAAATCAAATTCAAATATAATACCTGGGATTCCTCCTTTTCCAAAGAAATTAAACTAATTATATAATTTGTTAATACTCTGCAAATTCCAATTCACAAGTACTGGATACAAAATAGGATAAATAATAAATGGAGTATATCAATGAAAAGCTATTTGGGATTCTTCCTTCTCCAAAGAAGAAATTAAACTAATTATATAATTTGCTAATACTCTGCAAATTCTAATTCACACGTACTGTATACAAAATAGGATAAATAATATATGGGATCTATCAATGAAAAGCTACAATCAATAATTCCAATTTTTGCTACCTTGGCAAGGTACTATACATATACTACATCAATATAATAGAAATGGCACAGTCTCTGAGGACATGTTCCACATTTTATTTACATTTTAAGACTAATCTCAAAATCACATATCCATACACCTATTTCCTTTTGTTGACTTCACCTAAACTTAAATGCATGGTTTAACAAAGACTGTAAACAAATATTTACCATGTCTGTTACATATAACATACAGGAACAGCTTTTGACAGAAATTCATCAACCCCCCCCAACATTTTTTTATTGTAAATACAGGTATCAAAACAATCCTGAACATATTTTGATACTACTAGTAGCACCCACACTGCTTCAAAAATTAACACAATTTGTGACAATATTCATTGTACCTGCTACTTTGAACAATTTCAAACTGTAGCTCTTTCACTAAGCAAGATGGACAAGCATGCCATTTGTTATTCCTTCTTGAGATTTTACTTTTCAGAAACACGC